AAAAAAAATACTGCATAAATAAAAAAAAATAATTGCATAACTTGATAAAAAATGCTCTGCAATAGCTTTACCGCGGCAGTCCACAAGTGCAACAATTTTAATTTTTTTTATTATAATAAACAGTATAACTGATATGTATAAATACAAATTGCACAATAGCCAATTAAGTTTCCGCAGATAATCAAACATAAAGTTTTTATTATCAAAAAACAAAACCGACTTTCAAATACCACTCCCTATACATTGAATATCTAATTCTGACAAGCTACCTGATGTATCTCCGGAGTCTTAGGTTCAATAGAAATGGAATTAATATGAGAATACGTGAAAGCTAAACTGAACCCAATGGAAATATTTTCAAAGTCGTTTCGTAATTGACGAATCTGAGTTAAAAAACATTAAAAAATACAATCAAATTGAGAACCCCCTCCTCTTTTCTCGAAATCGGTTAAAAAATAGGAATGTTTCACATCTAAATTACAAGAAATCTTTATACATTGAAGAAATAAAAATGAAATGTAGTAATTATCAGTTTTTTACTAAAAAGGCAATTACAATGTTAATTACAATTATCTTTTTTCAAGTCCAGAGGGACTTTACAAAAGATCATTGAAAAATAATAAAGATAACATACAAAAAGTTCTATCCATGACAAATATCAACCTTCTCCCGCATCCTAAAAAAATACTAAAAGGAATATTTAAAAACATTTTTTTGCCTTTGTTTATCATTATATACAATATCAGAGAAAACACTCAATGATAGCCGATAGCAATTACTTATACACGCTCGGTAGCGAATGAAAATATCGTGAGGAAACCTGCATAATTTGGGAAATAACAAAAAATTTTTCGAAAATATGTGAAGTCGCGTGGTGGACTATGCCCTGATAACCTCTTTACAGAGGAAGCCTTCGCCCAGCAGTGGGACATTTATAGGCTGTTACTTTACCTTTATTTATGTGTCCTTGTTATTTGATAATAGCAATAACACATTTAGCACTAGTTTAAACAAGATACAATGGTTTGAGTTGTATTACTTTACTTTTATCGTGGAGGTAGGACGCAATTTTTTTGTACTATGTAGCCTAATTGAAGATTTCTGATACATAAATTCGATGACTAGTGCCCGTTTTCACCATCGATCCCTAACGTTAAGTATCACCACTTAAAGTCTTACGCGTGAAATTTAAGCGATGGTGAACACGAAACAAGCACTTACATTTTTTTAGGTGTCCTTTAAAGTTAGGGATTGATGGTGAAAACGGACATAAGGCTTTTGACACAAATTCCCTGCCAATTATTTTCAAAAATATCAATAATTCCTCATCAAAGGCCAATCATTAATGGTTTCGGAGTTTTCAGACTAATAGAGAACAATGCACTAAAGTTGGCGTAGGTTTTAGCACCTCCCCTAACTGTTGCCCACAGCGTCCCTCAGGGAACCGTTATAGGATTGACGATGTTTATATTTAATTTCAAAATATCTTTATCAGTTGGCTGGAACAACTAAGCCTATTGCTTCATAAGAGCTCTTAAAGCATAAGCTCTTATTATAAATGTGCGCACGATCCATTATGTCCTACGCTTGCATGCCTTTCGCATCTTATCACGTGCTCAGCGGTGAACGTAGCGGGTCAGGTGTAAACATCGTAAGGATATTATCGAAACTATGAAAAAATAAAATATTTCAAAGATATGACAAATATTTCAAACATAAAGTCCGCGAATCCGATGTGGGATCGCGTGGTGGTCTACGCCCTAGTACTCTCTGTTAAGAGGAGGCCTTTGTCTGACAGTGGGTCATATTAAGGCTGTTACTTTACTTTTATTTTGCCAGGGCGATTCTGAAAGTTTTTATAACTGGCCAGTTAAAAACATTGCCAATGAAAACTCTTTGATAACCTAATGTGATATATTGCATTCTTTCTTAATTTTTTTTTTTGTGAATTGGTAGCCATTCCAAAAGTCTTGTTACGCCTGAAATGAATTTAACGCGAGAAAATGTTCGGTCCATGATTCATTACGACTTTCGTCGTGTTCTCACTCAACAAAAAGCTATGATAGACTTCGATTGGTTCAATCCACCTACATTTAATGTAATCTGTAATTCACAATGTCACAGGTGATTAAAGCTTGATATATTGCTACGAATCCGAAACCAAAAGACAGTTTGATCAGCGGGTGTTTCGTTTTGAGTATTCGCCAACTAAATAAGAGAAAGGAAGAAGTCCAGGAAAAAAGATAATTTCGTCTTCGTTCTTCAGAAAGGTCATCTCGCAGCAGTGGTGCATATGGAAAGACAGTTACTGCATGTTTTATACTCCACAAATAGTTCAAACTTTTAATTAAAGTATCACAATAAACAATCAAACGATAAAATGAATGTGGTGGACAAAGACGGACGGCTTAGTTGCTAACCCATTGCCGTCGGCACCAGGAGTTGTGCGTTTTATTTCCGCACGGAATTAGACACAGCTTTAACAAAACATTCTACATGTGTGTCTACCTCAGAATGTAAGGTAAGGTCTCCTAGGATGAATTAATTATGGGTATTGATCCGTAGTTAATATTATAAATGCGAAAGTAACTCTGTCTGTCTGTCTCGCTTTCACGCCAAAACTACTGAACTGATTTAAATGATATTTAGTTCACAGATAGTCTAGAGGCTGTTTTTAATTGGATTTTTTTAAAAGAAAGATATTTATTTAATGGTATCAACGCGAGCGAAGCCGCGGGCGAAGAACTAGTATTTCATATTTAGGTCTCTGTGATAAACGTTTACCTTACCACATTCCCATCATGAATTTTGAACCTAGAAAATTGAAAACTCTGAACATTTCGAATTTTCTGGACCTAACATGTTTCCTACCTTACTTGAATCGGTTTGGTAGAAAAACACATACAACGACATGCCCGAAACGCGCGGAATAAGATACGAGTTGAATTCATTTATAATAAAACAATTATTTACTGTCAATTGATACATTAATAATAAATCTTATCCTTTAAACGAGCAATTCTTGTATATATATATATATATATATATATATATAATCGGAATCTCGGAAACGGCTCCAGCAATTTTCATGAAATTTAGTATGTGCGTAGACTCGGGGGCTAAAAATCGATCTAGCTAGGTTTCATTTTTAAAAAATGTCCTTTTATCCCTGTTTTCAGGGAATGAAAAATATAATTCGAATATGACGGTAAATTTCGCCGCAAGAGAAAATGTCATAATAGCTCGGTCGGTAATCGGGCGGCCCCAAAACAGACGGCCGTGGTTCGCGTCACGATCTTTTACACATTTATTTTTTTTACTTTTTTTTCGATTCCAGATCATTGTTTTCTTTATTTTTAATTTTTTGTCGATTTGTTATTTTAGTTTTTTTTTTGAAGTTCTTACGTCGGTAAGATCGAAAAATATTATGCATATTTAATTACGCAGTAATTTGTATATAAATGTAATTTCCAAAATACACGATTTACCAAAAAAAACATACCGAGCAAAGCTCGGTCCTCCGGGTACTTTAATTTTATATATATGCAATATACTATATCTATATGTTTATTTTATTCTATTTTTTTTTTTCTATAAACCAAACCAGACGAGAAAACAAAGAAATATCCTCAACATTAAATTTAATTATTTAAATTATTAATTAATATTTTATTTTATTAAATAACATTAATTAATATATTATTTTTTAGTTTTACCGAACTCGTCTAAAGGATACTATTGAATAAATGATGTATCCATAAATGGCATACAGCAACCGTTCTCTTCTTCGTAGTAGCCTCGAGTGAAATAGTTATCACGACAGCAGCGGAGTACACTGATATGATTTTTCGAACTCAGATTGATGAACAATTATAATCCATTCCGTAAATAATAATCGTCAGATAAATAAAATATTTACATCGATAAAATGTAGAAAAACTTAATTATATTTCTGCACGATAGATTTTACTATCACTTAAGTTACTATATAATTAAGTTTTTCGTGACAAATATAAATATAAATAATTTTTTTTTTTTTTTAATTAAATTCTGGACATAAATAATGTTATGTAAAAATGATAAATATTTAAAATCACTCATTAAAATACATTCATTTGAACTTATATCAAAAGTGCGTGACTTATGGGCAACTCATTTATTTTACGCGCGATCATTCATAACTAACACGCACACAAGTTCGTTTCAAATGTATACGACGCATTTATGAATGACTACCACATTGTCAACAAGTTCTGTTTTTTAGGGAACAGAATAGCAACTTTTTTGAAAATAAAAAAGGTTGTTTTTATTTCAATAAACGATTATACAGTAAGCTTCGGTTCGTCAAGTGTCTTTTCAAATTTTTACAGTTACTTGCGACGCCGGCTTGTTAACTAACTAAATAACAAATTCATATAACGAAAACACAAAAAAAATATATACAACATATTTTATTGGAAAAGGTTCTCACTGCTCACTTATTTCCATGAAAGGATACCCAAAGGATGCTGTATTAGGCATCCGGAGCGATTTAATCATGGCATTACAACCCTTGCTCCGCTAGCGGTAAAGTAATTCAATTAAAGATTGTATGTAAGATGATAACATAATTGGATTTGATACTCATCTAAGTTATTTGGGTGCAATTTATTTACAGGCTTAAGATTTAGAAACTCTTTTAGAACGATTTAAACCATGTTAATTGGGTGAATAAATGTTAATTTTATCACGATTGTCAATGGTAAATGTCTGCTGAATGCCACAGATATCGTAGACGTGGCCGGCAAGGTCACTGCCTGGTGCCGGTGGGCAATCCGTGCTATCTAATGTCCATCAATCCATTAATCGTTGCTTATCTCAAAGATCAACTAAACATTTGACAGTAATTCCACATAATCATAATAATATTTAATTAATTTAAATTTGGCAGATAAGATTGGCGCTTTCAATATAAACGCTCCTTGCAGCACGATTGGACTAATCCAATCCGGCGTCTCACAATGAAACTGTTCTTGCTCGCCCTGTCCTGCCTGGCGGCGCTTGCGCTGGCCGAGGAGCCCATCCTCCTGCACTACCACGAAAACGCGGGCATCCGTCAGGCCGAGCTCATCAGGCAGACGGAGCAGGCCATCGACTTCGACGGTACCAGGATCGTGGGAGGATCGGCGGCTAGGGTCGGACAGTACCCATATCTGGTGAGACTAACTTAATTTCAATAGAACGCCAAATATTCCGTTAGCTAGTTTCATATATAAAACAATACATTACAAGGGAGAAAAAGTCATATATCGCTTAAGTAAAGTAGCCCTATCCAAGGTCCACTGCTGGGCAGAGGCCTCCTCTCTACAGAAAGTATTAGGGCATAGTCTATCACGCGATCCCACTGCGGATTGGCAGACTACACATAAACAAGATAATTATCTTCGTAATATATTTCATTACTATTATTTCGAAATTGTGCACTTTCTGTCCATGACGTTTTCCTTCACTGCGGCGCACGTGATAATTTGAAGACTCCGCGGCGCAGTGGCCGAGGTTGGCTTAGGCGTCAGGGGTCGTGGGTTCGATTCCCACATGGGACAACTATTTGTGTGGCCCACAGGTAGTTGTTTCGCATCTGGGTGTTAGTCCACGTGAAATTTATGTATGTAAAAAGTCCTTACGACACAGGCTAAAGTTGTCATAAAGTAAGGGCAATGTTTACAATAAAAAAAAAATCAGCACTTAAAATGGTCAAGTTTGCCGGAATATGTTGAATTAAAGTTGACACTGAGATGCCGAGGCTCTGACCATAAACCCTTCTTTAATCAAACGCCCTCCGCACTCTCAGGGTGGCCTGGTGATCACTCTCCAAAATGGCGCGACCTCCGTCTGCGGCTCCTCCATGGTGACCAACAACCGCGCGGTTACCGCCGCCCACTGCTGGTGGGACGGCCGCAACCAGGCGCGTCAGTTCACCGTCGTGTTGGGCTCCGTCCGCCTCTTCTCCGGCGGCACCAGGATCAACACCAACAGCGTGGCCATGCACGGCTCATACAACCCCAGCAACCTGGCCAACGACATCGCCGTCATCAACATGAATTGGGTCAACTTCTCAAGTAAGTAGCCCTTCAACTATTTGGCCTTTCTATAATACACAGCAAAATACAGTATGTGAGATATGGATGGACTGTGTGAGGAATGATGTGTCTGTGAAATGGGTGAGTATTGAGCGTCATCTAAAAGGCAAGGGAATGACGTTTTATTACAGTATAGTTAAAGTTGTTAGACAGTGCTTTTATCAGGTAGACAGTTAGTGTTAGGTGCGTATCCCAGACGACACGGTTAGACATTTTTGGTCCTTTTTACTACTTGGTTTAATCCGGTCAGTGAAGCAATTGGGACCCACTTTTTAAGAGATAGCAATATAACTCGACCCCACGGGTGTTACGGATGAGCATAGACGTTCATAAATTAGAATAAGGTGACTGTCACATAAAAAATCGTTTATCAAGAGACATCATATATTTGGATGAATCAGTTAATATTTAATGAACATTCTATAATAGGAAACATTATATAAGATATTCTCTAAGTCTACCTTTGTGCCGGATTTGTGATGACGAGCTCATCACTTGTCATCCTTGGGGTAAATGGAGTGGATCGTATGTAGCATTAAACATCTTGCTTTCTCAGCATTTCTATAAGCGATACTAAAGGTCTCGTGTTAATTTCCAGACGTCATTGGGCGCATCAACCTGGCTTCAGGCAACAACAACTTCGCTGGAACATGGGCCATGGCCGCCGGTTTCGGCAGAACTGGTGACTGTGAGTAAATTACTATCTTCCAAAAAAGATTCGACACAAAAAAGACTATTCGATTGCGTTCTTCGTTAATTTTGCTCTGTGACTCTTCTTTGCTGTAACCTGTAGGGCTGATAGACTGAAGAACCAACCAAGCTAAACATGTACACACTTTAGGTGTTATCCCAACATCAATATGTTGAGATCCAGCTTCCAATAACAGTTATTGCAACTTCATGCATCGATATTCAACACCATAGAGGGAATGGATGCAGCTGGCTCAGGATCGTGCGTCGTGTGCAGCGGTGGCCTCAAACAGGCTGAAATGATGGTTATGATGATGAGGGATGAATCCACACATTTACATACGCACTTTTCCTTGAGTACCACGACTTGGGTGCCAATTTCAAACCAGGCGAGAGCACATAATTCGTGCACACAAGGGCTTTACAATAAGGCAGAAGGTAGCGCTTTGATGAAGGAGATCGCCGTGCAAATGTATTCTTATTATTATTTATTTAAAGTATATTTCATTACACGTAAAACACGTGACAGTCTCGTAAAGTAAAACGTAACGTGTTCTCAGAGAATTCCCATTTAATCCGTGATAGCTTTTTTTTAAATTCTTAGCTGCCAATTCCCGAACCCTTCAGTAAGCCCGAGGTTGGAATTTTGAAAATAATCACAAAAAACACTCGGAGATGGATTCTCTGTTTTTGTTCGTATTGCTTCGAAGTTTTGAACGAGCCGTGGCTACTTGTGTGCCCACAGCGGCTGGCATCGGCCAGAACCAGATCCTCTCGCACGTGAGCCTGCAGGTCATCACGAACGCCGTGTGCAGAAACACCTTCGGGAACACCATCAGGGACTCCACGCTTTGCGTCAGCGGCGCCGGAGGCAGGAACATCTGCCAGGGAGATTCCGGTGGACCTCTTGCCGTCGGCTCTACCCTCGTTAGTATTCCCACTCTTTCTCTCTTTTGTTTGCAACTAACTAACTGGCTGAATATACTCATTGAATACAATTGTATACAATTGTAAGGCAATGCAGCCGCATTTGACTGTACATGTGTAAAAATAATAAGTACTTTAAATATTACTTAAAATGAGAAGAACAAAGTAGAGATGAGAGAGATTTCGGTGTCGCATTTAACGCATAAAACGTTGGTTCGATTGTCGCACCGGCAAAAAACTTTTAGTCCATTTTTTCTACAAATTGCAATGTGAATTCTACTATAAAAATACATTTGAAATATCATTGAACAACTTACAAGGCTGAAAGTTGTAACGAATTTGGATTTATATACTGATAATTTGTCGTGAAAAATATCAATCGAAGTGGGCGAAATTACAATCCAAGAAATTGCAATTATATCATAAAGCCCTGGAGCTATAACATCGGATCCTATTAAAGTCCGAGTTGTAGTTTTAACCCTTTGCTATTGTTTTGCAACATTCATCACATAACTTATCTCCCCGCAGATCGGTGTGACATCTTTCACCTCGGCCCGTGGCTGCCAAGCTAATCTGCCGTCTGGATTCGCCAGAGTGACATACTTCAACGCATGGATCAGGTCCCGCCTGTAAACACTTTGTACCGAATTATCGCCAATCGGCCAAACAGTTTCGCTTTAAGGAATAAATTTCGTTTAAGAATTAGAGTGTTTTACTTTTTTGGTAGCAAAATAAAAGTTGTTTGTACTCATGAAACCACTTAAAAGGTTATATTATAATTTTATAGTCATTCATTTTTATGGTCTTCAATTAGCACCTGCCATCTACTTTTGAAACGACAAGAGTTGAGTGGTAGAGAATGCCATTAGGCATTAACACCCAGTTTCCGAAAGCGCAATCAATTTTAATTTACGATAAATCTCTTGTCAATCGTTGTTTAACATGATCTGAGTTGCAAGAACGTCTGAAAACAACATTGATTTTGATTTGCAATTAATCACTGATTACCGGACAATCAACAGAAAATCGAGTTTCTGAAAGCGTTTTTCGGTGGTTTTATTAAGTAATCTGTCAATTTGGACGATCAATCGTTGGTTAAATATGTATTTTATCAAAAAAATAGTTTTTATTAAAAATAAACAATTCCCTAATACGTTGTAAGGACATTCATGTGTTCTATTACCTATTTATTATTTATTATTATACGAACATATCATACGATTAGAAAAAATACAAAATGCAATTCAAAAGTTAAAAAATAATATGGATTCTTTCTTTTTATAATACTTGTTTATTATGGATAAAAGTTCATTTTTTTCACGTTCTGTAAAGTTTTTTCTTGATTTTTGCATGTATTTATATAAATAAAATTTTATTATAGCTCGGATTTTTACGTTGGCAATCACACGGTGACAGGACTGGATAGTGAAGTTAATTTAAGTTTCATTCATTATCATTGGTTATACAGTGATTACCTAATTTTTCTTGAACAAACCTTCCAGAAACCCAAGGCAATTTAACAAGAGATTAACAGCTGATCATTTTTGACATAGTGTTATGTGATTGCTGCTTTGATTGGCTTTTCGGAAACTGGGCATAACCCATTGTAGCTCTTAGCTTAAGGTGTAGCAATGAAGCTTAAATAAATAAATAAATAAATTTTATCCTGTGTGGTGTGCCAGGACTATAAAAAAGTAAAAAAAGTAAAGTAACGGCCTATACATGTCCCACGTCTGGGCAAAGGCCTCCTCTATACAGAGGGTATCAGGGCATAGTCCACCACGCGGCCCCACTGCGGATTGGCGGACTTCACATATCTTCGAAATATATATTTTTTTGTTATTATTTCGAAAATATGCAGGTTTCCTCACGATGTTTTCCTTCCCCGCGGAGCACGTGATAAGTCAGCACTTAAAGTTAAAAACTTCATTGGTGCCGGCACCGGGGATCGAACTCAGGTTGCTCGAGTATATTGAATTAAAGGCGAGCGCCCGGACACTGAGCTATCACGGCTCTTTGTCCGAACATAGTCCTGCCAGGACTATGTTCGTACAAAATAGACATTAAATGCAACTGATAACGGTTTAATTAACGTTCTTTTTGGAGTAAATTTCAAAAAGATAAAATATCTTAATAAAACCGTTTAAAAGTAAACTCGTCATTTTCCCCAAACACGCCAAAAGGAGTAGATTTATTTTCGTTTCATAACTATAATTACAATAATTCGTAGCATGGTGGCTGTTCGAACTCCTGTCGTTGTAGGATTTGAGATTTGTAATTTAAAATGAGCTAAGTGACACAAGTACATTGGTTATTAGCTGGTATTTGTCATGTAAGACAACATCTACACTAGTCTAGCAGATACGGATGACGGGAAATCAACCCCATGACCCGAGAGTATATTACCCTGATATTTGTCAGATATCGATATCTGACAAAAGCGAATATATGATTTGTATGTACTTTAAATACCTCCTAAGAAACTGTTGCCCTAAAACAAATTTACCTTTATTGTCGCTGGCAGCACTGTATACCGGCATATATGAGGTTATCTACTCGAGCGAAGAGACACATGGTCAAGGGCGGATCCAGGGGGGGGGGGGGGGTCATGGGGGTCATGATTCCCCTCTGGGCTGGGTCCAGGACCTAGGTGGACTAATTAAAGTTGTTAAACATAATGTTTTATACATTTTTTGCACACACATATAGATTTTATGTAAGTACCTTCAATATTTAATTAAATTAATATAATATTTTTAACCGACTTCAAAAGGAGGAGTTTCTCAATTCGATTGTTATATTTTTTTTCGATATATGTACATCCATTACGTTGAGATTTAATCCGATTTCCGAGATTCTTCTTTAGTTTGATGCAGAATAGTTGCCATTTGGTCCAATAAAAATTTACCATAGTTTGGCCAAGTAATTTTCATTTTATGAACATTTTTACAATATTTTAATGTTAAATCAGCTAAAATTTTGTATACATGTGTGAATCGCGAGACAATCCAATATTTTTATGACATGGTGCTGATCTGATGATGGAGCTGGAAAAAGGCCAAAGGAACTTCGAAATGAAACGTCAGAGCCTCATCGCGTTTGGGTACATTTGAATCGTATTGACGAGTAGTTTGTCTTTCATTGGTAACCACGATCTGATGATGGAGCTCCATCTTCAGCCGTCCATGGACATATGCAACACATGCAGAAGCGTTTTCTCCTTATAATAAAGTGGGCTCCGGCTAGGTAGCCAGAGCCGGAGCAAAACGCATCTCTTGAGTGAGGTACTCACCAGACAAATCGCAGAAGTACTTTACGCCGATCTTCTGTGAGGTCTGTGAGGCTATCCTGTGAGGTTCCTACGACTACACTGTAATGAAACGACTCAACCCCATCAGAGATTCGGCTCGATTGATTCGTCTTGGCGAGTACTTAATTTTTAGATGGTTACCTATTGCGTCTTGGCTCGTTTGATTCGTCATGACGAGTTCCTTGGTGCTAAATGGTAACCAGAGTCTGATGATAGAGCTGGACTGTGGCCATAGGAACTCAGTAATTATGTAACACAACTGCGTCGAGTTTGATTCGTCTTAGTGGGTGGACCGTTTTTGATGGGTGGTGAGATGTGGCGGTTTGGTGGACGTGAGTATGCGAGACCATCTTTGGGAAATAAAGTTCGTTCTTTCCGTTTGTTATGAATGTGGATTCTGTTTTTGATTAGATGGATTAGAAGCGCTGAATATTATGAATGAATGAATGAATGACTGAATAAATATTCACTAAGAGTCACTATTTATCACTTTAAAGCTGGTTTAGATATAGAATGTATTAATTATGTTTATGGATATATGTATTTATATATATGTATGTATTTATATATATATATATATATATAATTAATTATTATTATATATATATATATATACTTATTTATTTACTTAATTATTTATTTTTTATAACAAAGTATCTATAAATTTTATTAGATAAAGTAATATCTTATAAAATTTATAGAATTTTACCCACACCCCTAAAATATTCTTTTCATATCATGTCCAACCAAAGATTGCCTGGAAGAAATTGCTCTAATTAATAAGGCATGTAAATTAATAATAATAATAATATTTGATTTGACGAGAACCTCATGAAAGCCGAAACAGATAAGAAGACAAAGTATCTGGACCTGGCTCACGAGGTGACCGACATGTGGGGTGGTGTGCCGACCGAAATTATCCCGATAGTCGTGTCTGCGAATGGGTTAATCCCAGTCTGGGACTGCGACTGGGACTCCGGGACGGATCGCTCCAAGCTCAAATGCAGAAGGCGGTGCTCCTCGATACCGCCCGCATCGTCCGTCGGTTTCTCTCCCTATCGCCCTAACCCTCGGCCGTTTGGTCTCCCCTGCCGAGGGCTTCCGTCTGGTTGGGTCCTATTTATATATGTATTATATACAACATTATATGTATATGTTTATTTTCATTCATAATATTTATTTCATATATGCAATATGTATCTATATTTTTATTTTTATTTATAAACCCAACCAGACGAGAAAACAAAATAATAATAATAACATACATAACATTAATTGATAAACAGGATAAAATAGTATTTCTTATCGACATTGCAGTGCCCAATACCCATAACATTCACAAAACCATTACTGAAAAAATAAATAAATACACAGAATTAAAGGAAGAAATTCTTAGAATTTGGAAAATGTACAAAGCCTACATTTTGCCACTAGTGCTATCCAGTACAGGCGTAATTCCCAAACATCTACTTCAATCTTTAAAAATGTCAGATATATCTGAAAACACCTACATAACCATGCAAAAAGCAGTAATCCTAAACACATGCCGAATTGTACGCAAATTTTTACAGGAAGACTTGAATAATCCACCCGAAACATAAGATGAAGCTCACTTGGCTTAGGCCCGTGATCTTGATCATACCGAAATATCTTAAATATTTCGAGATATACAACATGTATAAACAAAATAATAATAATATTAATTATTTTTTATCTATAAACCCAACCAGACGAGAAAACAAAGGAATATCCCCAAATAATAATTATTTATTTCTATAATAATATCAGTACAGAAAATTTATATCTAATTAATGTTAGTTACACGAAGGAAAAGACAATGAGTACACTGTGGCTCCCAAACTAGGCAGTGCCTGTATCTTATATTAATATTAATAATATTATATGTTATATTAATATTTTAAAAATGAACAGTTGTAATAATAAAAAAACGCAGGTAAGAGAGCACGAATTAGTGTGTGTGTGCGTGCGTGCGTGCGTGCGTGCGTGCGTGTTCGTGTGTGTTCGTGTGTGTTCGTGTGTGTATGTACGCATGAGTGCGTGAGTGTTTTGCGGATGTTTCGTATTACTTAATAATATTTAATAATACTTAATAATATTTTCAGTTTCCTCGTAATCGAGAGAGAGCAACCACATTTTTAGACGCTTCCTACAAGAGTAAGTACTGAGGTCTGCGATGTCGCAATGCTTTAACACATTGTTGTACACGAAGACATGGAGAAATGAGGGACAGCGCTTTCCAAGAAGCGAGTTGGTCCGCGGACAAGGAATTCTGTAGGTACGTTTTGATACAATAGCCTGA